TTGATCACGTACCGTTAAGACACATTCTCTGATCACGTAAAGTCACGACACATTTTCTGATCACGTACCATCAAGACACATACTCTGACCAGATACCACCAAGACACATTCTCTGATCACGTACCTTCAAGACACATTCTCTGATCACGTACAGTCACGACACATTTTCTGATCACGTACCTTTAAGACACATTCCCTGATCACGTACCGTTAGGACAGATTCTGATCATATACCTTGACTGCGCAGGTTTTTCTCTCCAAAGGGACATCTATCATCAATCAAATTCTGTACGTGATCTTTTTAATAATGTCAGTCTCATTTCATTCTTAAATATAAGATAAATAGAATTTGCTTGCTACATTTTAAGTAGTTGATGTGTGTTTTAAAAATAGAATAATATTGTTATCAAATGAGATTTTAGATGGTGGTGTCACATGGGGGTAAAGTAGTGTAATACGTACGTGTAATTCCATTCTCGATCAATTGATATAATATTGACTAGTTCCGGTAGAACTTAGATTGTTTTAAGTTCTTAATATTGTTCTGGATAGCATAACGTAAAGCCAATGGTGACCAATCATTCAGGAAGTATTGGTACTGTAAGTCCCCATGATCCCCAGTAAGGTGATCTGGCTTTGGTTATTGGTGGACTATAGCCTGGTTTTAAGTAATAAGACTTAATCTATTGTAGTAAATTGACGTTTGTAATTTTGATCAGGTTTGTCTTATTCTAAAGATGAGATACACCTCGCCGTTTTAATGTCCTTTGTCGACAGATATTTTTTATAAATACCACGTTTTCATCGCTTTGGGGCTGTAATATTGTCGATGCGATGTAAAAGTTTAACTCACTTTTGATAATATACCGTCAATAAACTTTTCTCAGATCACCTGCGGTCAAGACACATTCTCTAATCCAGCACCGGCACAGTATACAGTATACAGTATATTCATGTTCATGTCATACTATGTTCCGAACACGAGTGTCAAAATTCTGGTATTTCCCTCGCTTTCGCACGGGTAATACCGGAATTTAGGCACTAGTGTCGTAAACATAGCATGACAAGAACACGAATATACTGCAAATCGGAACAGCATCGGAACCACAATTTGTCGAATGACGTCAACAATCTTCAGCTATGACGGTGTTTCTAGTGTGACGTCATTTCAACCTCACGTCACAGTACGATTCGAATGACGTCAACAAAGCCGTCAAGATGGCGGGAAAATAAACTGTTGTATCGGGACGTGATATGACCATAAGGCACATATGATTTTTATGAAATCTGATGTGTTTACCCTCGTAGGTAATTAATTATACATATTCCAAGATTGCAGAATGTGAATGCACATCCCTGATAACGTTACATCAAGACACACTCTTAGAGTAGGTTGCTTCAAGATTACGTATCGTTATGGCACTTTATCTGATAAGACACTTTTCTCAACAACATGTCAAGACGTTAAGACACATTCTCAGATCGCTTAACGTTAAGACACGTTCCTCTATTGCAATGTGTTAAGATGTATTCTGTTTCCTGAACACAAAGAAACAATTCCATAACGCGTTATATAAAAAGAAATTCCCCGATCAGGTATTATAGAAACACATTCCCCGAACGCGTAAAATGAAATCACATTCCCCGATCATATAAAATGAAAACATACTTCCAGATGATATTATCAAGGCACATATTAGCAGATTACGCGGGTTATGTGCCAAGTCAACGAACATCAGATAAATTAAAAACATTAACGTTAATATATCAGTCAGCCAAAATAACGTGTCCTTGAATCATATTTAGATGTGCCAAACAAACATATTTCTTAATATTGCCACATATCTTTAATATCTTGTCATTGCAAGAACCATGACATGCGCCTTACATTTTGGAATAGCCAACGAGAGAGGAATTATACCTTGACGTATGGTATTATATACGATTGCTCCTTTAATGTAGAATTGTAGTGTAATTTCAATGCTAGACATCATGTGTGCATCTTGTGTGAATGCGTGTGTATCTCATTGGAAATGTTACTCTTGGGAGTCTGCTCGCCGGAACGTCAAACAGTGAATCAAGTCTTGTTTTCCGACTTGCAAGGGATGCGTGTTATTTCAAGAAGCTATTTACATGTAAATAATCGCAGAAAAGGTTTATTTGAACACGTCGGTGTTGCTTTCAGTTCACGCATCATAAAGGCTGTTATGTTTGGGTCAAATCATAACATCCGCGTACTGCTTGGCTTTATATTTCCATTTTGTTGCGTGACAAAATAGCATCAGATAGGATTTGCATTTCAGTTTCTTTGATATAGTGACGGTTGTCGTCGACAAGAATGTCCCGTTGCAAATCTGCTTGACAAAATTATCGGCTGATTCTGTCAATTTCACTTTCGTGCACAGTCGATTAGGCTGTATCGTAGAGATACCAACCCAGAATCATTAAAAAAGTCAGAACATTATGATTGATTGTCATGTTTTTTGAGAAAATTTTGATCTTTGATGTCATGTCCTCTAATCACCCATGATGCAGAGAGCAGAATGTCAATTTCTGCCGAGCTCCGATATTGATACAAGTAACGGGTTGTATTTGATCACAAAAAACGCCAACTGTCGTTTACAACGACGAATAGACAATCCATAAATAACAGAAACAAGACAAAACTCCTATGAAAAGGAATCAGTGGTTCACGGATACTTTTGACCACAAAGCATTTGAATCGCAGATACACAGACTGCATATATTGTGTAAGTATCAGACAGATGTTATGTATGTTTAGGTTTAAACGTGTTTAGGATGTATTATAAGTCCTTAAAGACAAATATTTTGGCGAGTTTTAGGTGAACACGTAAAAGAAATAAACGCGAGAAACCGACAATATCCCAAACACTTTACAGGCCTAAACGTTATGTCCCAAACATGTTGAGCATCATGATTGAAATGTTAACATGTTTAAAAAAAGGTTGTCAGCCATATCGTGCCGGATAATTTTCTAAACAAGCATTTCAAAGTTTTCCGGAACATTAAAATTGAACATTTGTAGTGTGCAAAAGAAGGATTCTTATCCTTCCTTGCGCTTTAGATTTTCTGTTTGTAAATACAGTTTCTTCAAACAAATTCTTTTCTGTTTCTGTCAGTCACAAGGGTTGATTTCAATCATTTCTTTCAATAAAGTGGCAGAGGATTAGAAGTGCCTTTATCCATTTTAAGTTGTCTAACAACTGGGACGAGCGGCACGAGGAGGAATGCCCGCGATTTCTGTTTGGATTGAGCAGCTTCAACTCATGACATGATGTGGGGTGGGATGGGGGTATTAGATTACTGCAAGATGTGAGTCGAGACGAATGTTTGAAGTGTAGGACGTTTTCGTGGGCATGTATTCTACACACAGTTCTACAGTATACCGTTTGAGAACTGTTCCGTTATTAGGAGCATGGGAACATAGTCAAAACAGAGATGGAAATCAATGTCGAAATGGCCATGGACATCCAAGTCCCAATGGCTACAACATCAAAGTCAAAACGGAAAAAAAGATATCACAAAAGGACATGGGCCATTAAGCTCGTATTTCTTCCCAATATTCGCATTGATCTCTCTGGTTGAAGAAACACACTCATTGAAGTCCGAGAAGGCTCATGTGTTTTCGTGTTAACGGTTAAAGGGGCCTCATGGCACATGCAACTAATGTAATGGATACATTCCAATCACTGTACGAGAAATGTTTGACCCTGACCATGTTCAGAAATGTATATCATATCTCATTAAATGTACTATGCTCTATATCCTTTAAGAACAGCTCCCTTGGTTGTGTTATGTACATGTAGGTCAAATCTGGAGCATGCTAATAGAACACAGGACAGACAACATATTCCATGGAAGGAAGTTTTATACAGGTCAAACAATAACGATGTCTCGATAAATACTTTAGCTACACTTGGCTTGTGACGTACTATTCAGGACGTATTGACATGATGGTTTAGGGCAAATAACAACAATCTAAGCTTACCAGTAGCAACGTATACACGGAATTAACAACATATCAGTAAACTGGTTTAACAGTAAATATTCGGATGATAAATATCTTGATGAATGTTTCAAACGTGAACACAAGAGAACACGTTATCCCTATGCACCAACCAAAGGGGAAAAGTGTTATTTCCAATACCATCGTACATACTGTAATCCACTTTTGAAAAACATATGTATTACAATGCATACAAACAATAAAACGTTCAGTAGAACACTTAATTCAAGATAAAAATAAACAGAAAAAGCAATTTTCTTTTCAAACAAATCGCAGTGATGCCTCAGTGTTAAAATATATGCATTTTATCTCCAATATCTAAATGGAAAGTTATTTCTCTTCATTCAATCTTCCTCATCTGGTTTTAGTTGGTGAAGCTTTAAAAATAAGGAGTAGGAGAAAGATTATTAAAGAAAATTGAAAATACGGATCTGACGGATGTGATATTGATTTTGACTGTGCGCGAGGTTTGCTGTTATTATTAATTATTTGCCCCGTTCAATCGGATCTGAAAACATGAATGTATTAAATTTCTAAAGTATGCATTCCCCCCTCTTCACAGCTTTTGCAAAGTCGTATGGTAGCATATACGTAGGTGTGTGATGTTAGTGAGGGTAATTGGAAGCTCTTTTTGTGCACATCAATAATTATATACTACAACATTATTGGGGGTTATTTTACTTCTGAATTGAACAAGATGACGGGAATATCTTAATGTATGCATAACTTGATCATGCGATTGCGTTATCACTGCATCCATACAGTGGGTGTTATTCTATTTGACTCAAATTTTAATAGGATAATCAGTGAGTGAGTGAGTGAGTGAGTGAATTGGGTTTAACGCCGCTTTTAACAGTATTCCAGTCATATCGCGGCGTGTCAGCCTAATGTGGGAGGAAAGCCCGAAGTGATGCAGGTCTCAGACGTTTACCACTTCGGTGAAACCCACGAGCACGGGTATGGTGCTGACAAACCTAGAAACATAATCGGGGCGAACCGGGATTCGAACCCGCAATCATAGGTTTCTGGCGTGCCCAAGGGACGCAACTCTACACAGCGAATCGCGGCGCCTTAGACGCCTGGGCCACCCGTGCCCCAAGGGTAATCAGATATGTCATACACGTGATATATGAGAGTCAGTTTTGTGGATCATGAAAAGATAAAAGTATCACTGGGAAACGGGGAGTAGAAAATATACGTATATATATTTCTGGGTATGGCTGAATGGTACCGTTGTTCATAAGAACAATATATTTATATATTGTAACTATTTTGGCCTGTGCTGCATATTGTGAGCGTTCACATTATTTGGATCCATAACATGTATACGGACAATGTCTGTTCAACATTGTCAGTTCGTGTGGTATTCCAAGTAAATGTGGTCTCATTGCACTGTTTTGCAAAACATGTTGTCAGCACTGATTTTCAGTGATCCATCACAATTTCCCTCACTTCTACGCCTTATGAAAATCTGCAGATATTCGAGACTATTATTAATCTCTGGAGTTGTTTTCAATTTATATGTGTGTGTGATGTCATTGTAAATGCTTGTGATGTCACGTACAATGAAATGCATGTATAATGCAATGTAAGACCGTGTCATATCAATATGTGCGCGTCAGCATGTGTTATATCCTAATTATTATGAAGGGCATTGCCTAGACTTATAATCACTAATTCATAAACAATTTCGCAATCTATTCCTGTTACCTGCTGATGCCACTTCTTTATGAACATGTTTGACGTTCTTTATGGACAACAATAACGAACAAATGTTTATCTTAAATGCAGTTAATCAAATTGAATCTACTAGCGTTATCTTTGAATAGTAATAGTATAATACGCTGATATAAAGACAGGCGTGCTTGTTAATCCCAGTGATTATTTGATCATTTCTATATTATTCAGTCAAGTAATGTCTCATCGTCAAGCGATTCACTAAAATAACTGATCCCAAAAATATATCTGCAAATTAATATTTACGTTGCAAATGGAAATATAGATGTTACAATACAGTAAAACGTTTCGATCATAAAACAAATAAATATCGATGTCACGCACATACATGTAATACATTTCACTTCGTGACAATTCGTAAAACATAGTGGACATGTACATTGAAAAATTCCTTAGGTTATACAAAAGCCAACATGTAATATGCATAATAAAACATTACGATTAGGCCTGGTTACAATCATTACAACACCCATGTGACTTTGATTGTGACAAGAGTACGTATGTTATTGTCCATGCGACAAAAGATAATGGATAATCAGGAAATGTAGTCCTTATTACACAATAATGATTAATAGCTGTTCTGTTGCAGAGATCAAAAGAACTTAAAAACCGAACATGTTTCACCAAATTATGTCGATGAAATATTTCCCTAGATGTTGCTATGGAACGATGAACATATTAATGATTACGTCCTCTGATATTCTTTAACTACGCACCATGGTAATCCATATTCCAGGATTATTGGTTTCCTGAAAATATGACCAAAATAAAAATGGATATCGCGAGTCAAGTCTTTATTGAAACTACCAGCGCGCATATTGTGTGATTAGAGAGCTCAATGTGACGAGAGCGACTGATTATCATCTCTATTTAGTGTAATGGTTATAGAAATCACAAAATATCAGTATGTGAATAGGGTTATAGTTGACTGTCGTCCTAGAGTTCATCAACTCTGGACATACATCGTAGAAGTTTGGGATGCTGTTTGCACCAGGACATCACATACTTCTGTCAATAATTGGTAAGAATTTAGATACAAAATTAGAATAGACCTCCAGAAACCGTGCACTGAGAAAACCGCTAGACAGGCATCAGACTATTGCAAAACGACTCTCTAAAACTAATGAAAGTATAGGTTCCAATAATACCTTGCTGACAGATTTCCGCCTGTCTTAATGCGACGTCGGACGAGTCAGATGCTTAGTAATCGACAGATAAGTACATTTGTCTGTCGGATTCCGAAAGTCACTGCCACCATCTAACTTAAAGGGAACCTGCTCTTCAAAGCTTCGTGGTGACCATTTCTTAGGTCAGCAGTACAATTCATCGTTTGTATGCACACTGTTGAAAACATTCACAGGTGAGGCTGGTTAGTTATGATGTAGTAAATGATTTGTTAGTTTCGGAGACACTACACCACAATGCAAACATGTCTTCTCAATAAAGGTACATGCTTGCTGTTGCCAATTTCAGTATTAGGTTTACCTATAATCATCATAAGGAAGTATAAGTTCGTATTTCATCTTTCTACAGCACCATCACTCGTGTCTCACCTCGGCGTTATCAATATCACCCATTTCAAACAACTGCATAAAAACTTACTATGTAGCTACATTGAACGGGGTAACACGAAACGACTGATATATACACGCAAACTAAATCAACTAAGATAAATTAAAGGTACACGAAGGAACAAAGTAAATTGCTATGTAAATTAAATTGGTGTTGTCGAATACATGCATTTCTTATATTTATTTTTTTGTACGGACTCATGAAGAACTTTCATACTAATAGTTGTAATGGTATTTATATCTTAACATGGAAAAAGTATTCGTTCTTATTTGTACGTTGGTAAGACATTGCAAAAGATGTAGTCATTTTGCCTTGTCTTTGAAATCTTGACGTGCATAATCTGCACCTATGACTAAACTATGATAAACAATCCTTTTACCGATATGTTGGCATTAAAACCAAGAATCCTCGCCTTGAGGAACACTCTCATCAACAGCACATTCGTTTGATGTAAGTTGTCTTCATATTTCATTTGACTCCAACTGGCACCAGGTGTTTATTTTGTCTCCAAACAAAGACCAGTCAATATGAACACTCATTTCACTTTTATTGTCAATTGACGCACTGCATTGCCTTCGCGTTGATCATAATCACAGACTTGTCCATATAAGCCATTTTATATTGCAGGTTCTGGCGATTCTTCCCAGCTTTGTATTGCAACGAAGAGCATCCTTCATATGGTGCACATGGGCACACCTTGATCGACTATCTGTGCAAGTATATGGTCTCACTGTGGTGATTGAGCTTGGTTGTAGTTGAACAATATAACACCAATGTCCTTCAAACAGAATCATCCCGCGTCCTCTTTGAAACAATGGGATGCATCCTGTACACGCTTGGTGTCGACGTTGTGTCATCAAGACTGTCCATGGTCGTGTGCATCAAAGAGCCATTTCTGTCGTAAGTATATTTTTCCGAGGCAGTCATACTCGTACGGGTCGAGTAGAAGGCTCGTTCATGGCTAACCATTCTTCGCGTCTTCTTGCACGGACGAAATGGACACCAGCGAAAAAAGCGCAGAAATCCTTGTCTGAATCTGAAATGTTAACGAGAAAACATAATAACTCTCTTGCAAAGTCCAACATATCTGGTGTCCTCTGTCACATTATCAACCAATACGTCTGAACCTAAGCAAGGGTTACAGAACCAATCCTCCGTAGTTTCCTACATGGACGAAAGGGACACCAGTGAAATGCGTGCAGGAATCCCTGTCTGAATCTGAAATAGTAACGGAAAAGCATAGTCATAGTCTTAAAAACAATTTAAGTCTAGGCGCATGCATTTGGTCCATCTACCTATCCTGTGTCACGTTAATCTACCTTAAAATAGTTACTGTAAAGATGATATGTTTAAAATTATGTTTTAGTCTGTCATCATATCCTTTGGGGGTAATTTAGATTATTTTAAATTACATTTTACGTGTTATATAACCGCATCTGGACCAGACATATTAGTTTATTCCATGTCAAATTGACAGAAATATACCAGCCAAACAAAGAAAGTGACACTGTAAGAAATATTTATCTGTATTTACATGGAAATGCTTATATATCACGTCTTTACAAGGCCTCATAATTGCGGCAAATATGCCATTTAAAAATCACAGATATATTTACATACATTGATGTCTAAATATACATAGATTTACGTAATTATAGTCCTACATTTCTTACTCGAAGTGTTTCATTGATATCCCTGACACAACGGCACATTAGAACAAGACATATATGTCATGTAATCTAGACTGATTAACCAACCATCATCATCATATATTGAGCTTTTGATACTTAAGTTCAGAATCAATTACTTAGGAATCCGTGCTTTCACAACTTTTAGGGTTCCTGACATAAGCCTAATCAGGATCGTGTACTGCGTGATCTTGTTTCTGAGTGTTGTACATTTAATGGTGTAACCATTGTCTCATAATGTTCATTGTTGGCCACATTATGCGGAATACCTCTGTGAATTACTTGTTGTGCTACAGAGTACAACAAAGCTTTTATCAAATAAGCAACCGTTTGATATTAATACTTAAGTGTCATGGCTTCCTCCACTACGACATGGTTGGCTTATTGTGAACCCTACGTACGAATCTGTAAAGCAGATTTTGGATGAAATGGACTTGAGTTAGTAATTTTCACTAACCCTTTTCATGTCAATGCAACTCATTCATTTCTCGTCAACGAAACATACATTACGTCCACTCAGAGTTGCAAGCACTACAGCTAAAGAGACTCGTTGCACGGTTTGCACTTAAAACACAGTTTGATGTATCAGATGTTGATGAGCTGTACACGTGAGTGTCACGAAGCACACTATAAAACCAATATTTCATTTCGGTGATTAATACGAGACGCTATTGTTTATTCAGGGACTTAACGGTATTTTCGTAAAGAATCCACCGATTCCGATATGGTTTCTTAAAAGTAAAATGATGGAATAATGTCGACTAGCACTAGACTATGAATAACCACGAGGAAAAACACTGGATTGTGATTGAAAATTTTGAAAAAATGTATTTACGTCCTTCAAAGTCGCAGATATTAATCAGAAGTACCGGCTTATCCACCTACAGTACTTTCGTGTAAATATAACATGTGGGGTGTGCAAATAAATCCCTTGACTTCAAACGTCATGGAGTATCTTTAAACTTTAAGATGACATTTTCTCGAAGATTTAGTTGCATCAACTAGCAATATCGTCTACAATTTTCAAGAACTATATCAAATACGATCAGACCACTTTTAAACAATAAGAAAAGCTGGAACTAATGGTACGAAAGATACTTATGCAAAGATTCAGTCAGACTCATGTTACCAGTTCTCTTTTCAAATCGATTCAAATAGACCGCTTCTCAAATATGTAGACATAAAGCTGAGGAATGTAATTATTGTTTCAATGACGGTGATCAGGCAATCTTTATATCACAACAGTACATGTAGATCAAATTCCAACACATCAAACTGGCACTGGGTTTAGCTTACGTATCCAAACAGAAACATATTTTGTACTCCAAACTACCAGTCAAATACAAACAGTATTTTAATTAGCTTAGTCGATGGAAACCATTGGTAATCAAACTTAATACTTCATACAATATTTACGTCATAGAAAACACACAGGTTCCGTTACCCTCAATATTTGTTCGTACTTATGTCTATACCCTCGTATTTCGGTAATATAGTGAGATATTGAAAGGCGCATATTGGCTATGTGTAAATAAAGCATACTTGTATAAATAGTTGTATAGATTTTTAACGTAGACAACTGAGCTGTAACGAGTTACTTTTGATATGAGATGGCATTGAAAAACAGAATATGTCTTGTACTTGATCATAATTATCTGTGTGCATGGTCAATAACTACAGTACTGTAATTACATGGTGACATAGTTAACGACATATGGGGCACGAGTGCTCCATAATTTGTCTGCACATGTCTGAAAGCTGAATGACGACCTTAAGTTATTTGTAAATTTGCTTTCTCACCATGGATTCACGTAGAAGATATATCTGGTTAAATCTTAACACGTATATACGAGATATGGAGATTAATAAATACTTTAAGTTCTATAAATAAAATATGCATTAGGTTGGTGGCTAACTCACGAGTCTCCCACAAACCAAAAGACATATTTGTTGGTATTTAAAAAATAGTTATGAATAATTGTGGACGTATTATTTATCTCAATTAACATTCCTTTTTAATCCATGTGTTTGATAGTAAACAGCAAATTTGTATTCTTGTAGATTTGTAAGACATACATTATCTTTATTTGGATTAAAGCAAATTAAGGTTGAAAGTTGAAAAAAACTATTTAGATGGACAAGACAATTATTTTAAGGGTGGGACTGTTGACTAAGATACATATTTACAAACACAAAATTTATTTTAGTATGTAAGGCTTGTCTCCGTCAGTTTGACAACTTTACAAATGTTAAAATATAGAAAATAATTCAGTTTCGCAATATTTTACCAAGGATACAAACATGAAACGAAAGAAATCAATGCAGGATAACCATACCGAGCGTTCATCCAACAGTATATGATTGGGTTGTACATTGAATTGCTCATCGCCAGCCAGTAGATGAGGAGGTAAATCTGTTGAATGTAGCTGAAATAGGCAACGTCGGTACGTATGTTTCCAATGATGAAGTACAGATGCGTGGGAAGCCAACAAACGGCAAAGATAACCACAACGACCATCATCATCTTCACCACCTGAAAAAGAGAAAGCAGAGTTGTCATGATAAAAATCATGTTATATTTCTGACGGCTTCTCTATTCCTTTTATTAGCTCAGTTTCCCACAAGTCATGAGGCGATAGGACCACTGCCCATGCCTAAGTATTGGTGTAATTCCAGCCGATCATTTAGAGGCAGTGCTGTGTACAACGAAATGATGCTGGGTCCGGTTTCACAAAGATGCCCCGGCGGTACCATTAGCACACTTAACATACTTAAACATAGACTTAGGTAGTAACCCTTTGATCGCTTTTGTGAAACCGGGCCCAGTTTCACAAAGCGGGCACAGCGTCTCAGGGCGTGTGCGGCCAATTGTGAAATACACAATACACTGTTTCTTTTTAATATTCAATCTTCCACTGATTTAATGCTGGTTGAAACCTTTTCAAGTACAGTTTAAGGCTCTGTTGGTACTCGTGACTTGATTTAATCTCCTTATTACACAAAATTGCACCTCCCTCCCTGCTTACCATATTTTTCTCATTTTTCTTGAGCGATAAGTACTCTCTGATTACAATTTGATGGCGTGATTCTAAACCGGCTTTTGTGAATACTTGCTTTTAACACGACCTCAATATAGCTTATCAGGGGTCGCATTTAGCAATGTGTTAACGTTGTACCTCTTATCATCAGAGTTTAAAAAGCTTTAACACCTACTCGACTGAGTAGACTCACAAAGAGTCGCTTGAACTTGAACTAGGTTATGTATTAGAGCTTTCTAGTTTCTTTATATCATACAGAAATTCAAGCCCTTAAATGTATAACAGATGATTGATTATATTTGAAAGCATAATTTATTTCTATACTCAAAACATGACTCTTGTGTGATTGTTCCCAAATGAAATGTCAGATACACACGTACGTGTATCTATGTATAATGTTGCCTTTGTTATACTTGATCCCAGTGGTACGTTCTACCATCCATCACGATATGTGTGTGAAAGTTCACGTCACGATCTCGTACTGAATCAATATCTTAACAGAAGCGTAAATGCTTTTGATTTAAATTGAACAATTTCGCCCCTCACGTACTCTTATGTTGCTACTAAGGAAACGTAAGACATTGTGTTAAAGCATGAGTGATCCTTGCTTTCAATATCCGTAATACACTTTTTATCATCCCATTTCAATATTTATATAGCCACAATAATGGTAATGGCAAGTGCAGGATACATATATCTAGCGACCAGCCTTTCAACTGACAGGCAACGCTAAGAGCATCTCTCCTTAACTGTGTTAACCGTGGTATCTTTCAAGAGGAATTAACATAAAATACGAGAAACCAAACATGAACATGGTTCAGTTAATTGGTGCCTTTTAGAAATAATTGACAATTAGTCAGAAGACTCGTCATAATCATTTTGTAAACCTACTCACTAACACATACCCTCAATATATATACTTACTGGAAGAATGAATGGGCTATGTGTAACGACGTTTTTAGCAATATTTCCGCAATATCACGTCAGGGGACACCAGTATAGACCTGTCTTCACACATTTTTTTAAGTGGAATGAGCGAAATATTTAACCACTAGTCTGTCCCTACGCTAAATAGGAAAATTTAAATGTAAATATATATAGAGTAATACACTAAATAGAAAAAAGCAATAGTTTGGTTGTATTAAGTGCTTCCTAAGATCCCTTCAAACGCCCAAATGTAAAGTACATGTCAACAAGGTAACTAAAGAAACAAACTAATTGAAATCTTTAAACTTTACAAACTTTAACCGTTGAGACATGACGTACACATGTAATGAATGTTATTAAAAATGTAAAGTACAAGGTACATGTTTGAACTGATTCTTGTTTAGGCATCAAAGCCATTTCAGAGCATTGAAAAAGAGTATTTAAACAAGTCATCGAAATTTGTTAATTGTGTTCTTGTAGGATACAGCTTTGTTCTCCTAATTTGAAATGTTTTAGGAGATATTTCACAGAGGCACTATAAAAGCTACTCAACGTGGATTGGTTCAGTCTTTTAATTAATTTGATCGATTTTAAACTTTGTTTCATATTGTTTTACTGACGTTAATCAGAATAGTGATGGATCATGCACAAGGCTTTTATCATGTCATCAAGAACCTTTGACTACTAATGACCTTCTAACGCATTGCCCTCTGGTAAATCAGGGGAAAATTCAAACGAGCTTTGAGAGTGTATTTTCAGATTGTCGACGAGGATACAATGACATATAAACCAATTGTACAGATATCATGTACATAACTGATATAAATGCGTTTGGTCATATTGCCATGATACGTCCTGAGAATGTATTCACAGAAAGTATTTGAGAAAAAATGGATGTCGATTCCAAAAGCTTACAGGATTTGATGGATTTTTGCAATCTCAGAAAATGTCAACTTTTTAGACTTCTATCCATACGACAAATTCTTTCTTGGACCCATAGTGCATTTGTCATTAAACGTGGTGACCGTATCTACATTAAAAGGATCAGGGCAATTTGTCAAATTTGAACGCAAATGCCTGACGATGACTGAGAAAACAATATGTGGAATGCTGTCCATCATTTGTGCACATCCTGAATATGAATCCAAAATATGAATCGAAATATAAATTCGGATTGGCGAAAACAAAACCTGCGAATTTGGTCAAGATTTTTAATCTTAGCTTAATCAATGATCTGCCTGACATCGTTCGATAACGATCAAGTCGCCAATTTAATTCCACTGAACTGGACGTAAAAGCGACGTCATCTGAACTACAACAGAGACAACATGGATGACTTCACTGCATCGGTTCGCATCAAACGTAACTCAGAATTAACATATCATTTTTAGTTTCAACAAAATCAGTAAACTCGCTATCGAGACACTGGATTGTCTTTGCCACCGTCACTGAATTGTCTGGTCAAGACTCGAATGTTTAAAGGAGAAGTCAAGAAATTTCGAAAAAAATACCAGCGGCTATAGCCTTTGGTGTCCACATTTCGCAACGTTTGAGGTACAATCGAGTATTCTCTTTCAACGAAGGTTTCAAAGAGCGTCATATGACTTTGCTCGAAAGTTGTTTGATGAGCAACAAAGGCCTTAGTATAGCTTTCAAAAATATGTAGACATGTGGAGCACATTTCCAAATGTCGTTCGTCCAGACCACCCGCCATACCGTTTGGTTTTCTCGACAAATAATGACAGATTTCAACGCAATAGTTATTTTTATTTTCCTCAATAACAGACAGGACAAGAGTGATAAACAACCTTATAGGCCTATATCAGTTAATTCAAATGTCACATGTCCACAATAGAATTGATTTTTGACTTGCTTCCGAATGACAACTGTAAAGAAATATTGAAGGTTTTCAACCAATTTGTCTTTGAACGATCACTCATACAAGAACAGACAAATCCCTCAAATCTACCGAGGTCAGAATTGTAACAACAATAGTCTGAAACAGGTTTCAAAATGATAAACTGACCAAATATTGAGGGATCTGGACCTTTCATAATTCGTTCCTTTCATTTGCCCAATGACCAAAATATATGTGCTCAGTCTGATCTCTGTGTGTTCTTCAGATTTTATATCACCACTTTCAGTTAACTGGAGTACACCGAATAACCCCCCCCCCCCCCCCCCCAAAAAAACAAACACCAAAAACACCAACAACAACAAACAAACAAAAAACAACACACAAAACAGCAACAACAAAACAACAACAACAAACAAACCAAATAAACAACAACAAAAACAAACAAAAATACACAAACAACAAAAAACGGTTGTCGTAAGCAACCTTAAAATAAAAGTGAATACATCCTTTCAATGACAATAAGAAAACCCCATTAAAGTCCATTGTACGTTTCCGACAAAATCATGAGCATGTGTTTATGAATCACAATTAAATACTGATGTTACCACGAGTTCTCGAAAAGGTGGGCGTATCGTGCCCCTACACAAACACAAACAAATGAAAGTTAAAATACGGGAACATGTGGTACAAGTTAAAATGAGGAATTGCATCTGACATGATATTTGTCACTGATGCGTCAAATTGAAAAATAAACTCCACCACAAAACCTTTGGCGAGCTTTGCTGAGTCCTTAAATGTTCGAGCAATTGCTAGTTAGGCCTTACACAGTCAGAGTTTGTATTTCTTAGTCGTGCCATTAATCCGCTGATCCATTTTCCTAAAGCTGACACGATGAGCCATACCTGAAATACTCTTCAAAGCGGCGTTAACACCAACTCACTTACTTTTTATCTTGTTACATGTTTCATCCGAGATAATTAAAAAAAAGTTACTGATTTTAAGAAGCTAAGTATCTTTGTATCAGAGGAAGTGTTGCATGTGAGGGCACCTCGTTCCCCTGCCGCATCAAGGGGCCACCTGCTTACTGACTTTATCTGACAAAAGCGTTGTAAGGCAACTACTCCTAAATCTTGATTTATCAGCAGCAGTTGGCAAAGGAACAAAATTAATTACTCTTTGGTCTATCCGAATTCAAAGTTTACACCCATTATGCATTCACGTTCTGATTCATTTATCACAATTCATTTATAAACATGTCTGAGATTGCAAAATGTTTGCATCGGCTTCTTATCGCGCGTATAAACCAGAGTCTTGGAATCTGAAAAGCTTTACAACTCAATAGATACACCACTTAAGTGCTTTCCTTCATTACGAAGCAGTCGAAAATAATGTTCACGTGAAATACCTTACTGATATCGTTATTTCACAGTGCTTTTCGTGGTCTTAAATAAATTTACCGCAATGTTTATTTTTGTCCTGGCGTTCGAAAAGGGTCTTCATGATAAATTTTGTGATATACAAGAAAACCGCATAGATAACATCGGGAACCTTTCCTTGATCTCATGAAATTTATTATCATGTCTTTATCCAGCCAAGCTAAATGTCACAATAATGATACACATGTCAATCATTTCTTCCTTTTTCATCTATCGTTAACGTTCTACTTCAATCCAAAAGCCTATTCAATATCATTATGCATCTTTTACTGTTTCTGCCAAGAAACGAATTTACAGTGTTTATCACTTCCAAAATTAACTATGTCTATCAAATTAATTGTGCATGTAAATATATTAGCAATAATAATGGTAACTTTATGATCACAATAAAAGTGCAATATTGTCATATTACCAATCTGTATAAACCAGAATAATATGTTGTCGTAACTAAACCGCCTTCCAAATTGTGACCAACGAGTATTTAGTTGTTCACACCACATACAGACTACTCAATAGAAGTTAAAGAACACACCATACTTTCATATTATTATTCATACTGAATCCGTCATGCCATAACAGGTTAACAATAGTGTTCTTTAGCTTCTTTTAAGTAGTGTAATTTTAGGTACTCTGAAACGTGGATTTCAAGTGTCACTTACATGTTAGTATCAAACCACAAACCTAGTCTTATTTATCCGACGAAACAGAGTCAAGTATAAAAATATATCAGTCAGTGATGACACCAGGTGTTCGCGAAAAGGAAAGGCATTTCCTGCCCTACCGGTTGCATCCACACCATTTCCATAACAAAGTATATGTTTGTTTCCTGACGCCGTATTCATTTACAAATATACAGAACATGTTTTATGATATTAATATCTGTATACGTCATTCACAAGAAATGTCAGCAATGTATCATGTTTACATTGAATGTGAATATTGACAGAGCCTTCTCTGTGTTCTTCATGTACATAAAATTGACGCGCCATTGACAAATATAATGTCAGATACAATTCCCTAATTAGACGTGAACCACATGTTCCCGTGTCTTTCAGGTGAACAATTTCCTTGCCTTTGCATGTATTTCTGGTGGGTGCCACAGATGGGGCAGGATACACTGACGTTTCCGTGAACGCCTAATATCATCGCAATTTGACAGTTATTCAAAAACACACGCCAATGATAAAGTCGGAATCGTAAAATGGACAATGCGTTTTGCAAAGATTTGTAATGATCATCAAATTGGTTTTGTCGTTATAATGTTAGGATGAAATAAGAAATGTCTGTATGCGCTTCATATTTTTCCATACCTTTCTTTTACTTTTAATCCGTTCTGCCTGCATTGGTATGGTCTCTCCAATGGCCTTGCTGCCCCAAAGCTCCCAGCCTATTCTAGCATATGTTCCTGCCAAGGTCACCATTGGTAGAAAGTAGTTGAGAATCATCAGTAAAATGTTATATCTGAAAGAGACAAGACACGATATAACGAATTGTAACAGTGTCATAATAATTGAAATGTAGGCCAATGTGTAGAGTGCACATTAAGAACTTAATATGCCAGGCAAGGGTGAGATGCATGCATTCATGCATACCAGGCCATGGTATTATACATATACCATGCTAGGCAGGATATTATACTTATGCCATGCTAGGCAGGATATTATGCATATACCATGCTAGGATAATATGCGTACATAAAGGTACAATAATGTACATATTTAAGGTAAGGATAGTATATAGATACTAGGCAAGGAGAGTAATAAATACTCGGCTAGGATAGCATACAAATACTAGGCCAGGATCAGGCTAGGAATGTATACATATGTAAGGCTATGAAGGTAAACATGTACAAATACCAGGCTGTGATAATCTACACATGCCAAGAGAGGATAATATACACACACAAGGCCAGGATAAGATACATATATAAAGCGGGGATGGAATACATATACAAGGCTAGAATAAGATACACGCAGAAGGCTCAAATAGGTTGCATGTACCAGGCTTGGCCTAGTATACAATAACACAGAATAAATGGATATACTATATATACCAGACTAGAATAATATATATATATATATCAGGCCAGGATAAGATACATATACCAAGCTAGGGGGATATACATACAGAAGGTTTGGATAAGATACATGTACCAGACTTGGGTGACATACATACAACACGGATAAGTTACATGTACCTGGCTAGGATAAGATACACATACCAGACTAGGATAAGATACACACACAGGCTAGGATAAGATACATGTACACTTACACCAGGCGGGGGTAATGTTCAGATAGCAGGCTTAGATAAAATACATACAGAAGCTCGGGTAAGTTACAGATACCAAGTTAGAATAATATCCAGAAACCGGGCTAAGATAACAAACAGGATGGAATAAGATAAAAACGGAATGGATATGATGCATGTACAAGGCGAGGAAAATACACAGATGCCAGGCTAGGATAATCTGCATAAACCAGGCTCAGATAATACACAGATGCTAGGCGAGGATAATATACATATACAGGCAAAGGATAAGAGGCGTGTACCAGGTGAGAATAAGATGTATATATATACCTGTCTACGATGAGATGAATATACTTGACATGAATAAAATATGAAATAGACTCGGGTGAGGTCTGACCACAATAAGGAAATATATATATATTAGGCTAGGGTGAAATAATAAGACCAGGCTAGGATGCGATTCATAATATGCTAAGTTAGTATGATATATATTTACCAGGCTAGGAAGCAATACATATGATAGGTGTGAATAATATACATACAGGATGCGATTCATAATATGCTAAGTTAGTATGATATATATTTACCAGGCTAGGAAGCATTATATATGATAGGTGTGAATAATATACATACAGCCCGTTATTTTGGGTGAGACAAATATGTCAGATAAGGGATGCTAAGAGAGGAAGAGGTAACAACAAGAGGTTACAACAAGGCTAACTAGTATACATATGTTTATTAAACAGGCCAAGGTGACCAGTTAAGAACAATAGAACATGCTAGGAAGCAATGACTATATCATGTTACTATTAGATGAATATACTAGGCTTAAATGAATACATATTCTAGAAGGCTGAGGTACATCAGCAAAGCAGGATGTTTGATAAATACACTTAGCAAGGATGAGCTCCACCAGTCTATGAGATAAATACACCAGGCTCGGGAGCGATAAACATACACGGATAGGTGAGAACAATAACTTATTAGCACGCGTAAAATAATTAATCATGCAAACTATATGTTGTTTCTTTTTGCATTTGTATTTCAAAAAATGATGTGAACTAAAATAGTAAAAACAAAATGTAACTAAAGTGCGTTTTCCGCATCTGAAAATAATCCTACATTTCCTTGCTGAGTACGTACCATTGTAAACAGATACCGACTCACCCCACGCCTGTCAATGGCGAAGTGTTGCGTGTTGATATTGAACATATACCTACACGCGTAGTGGAGGAGTCTCTTTGTGGATTTACAGGCTGCACCTGTGGCAATAGACCACACCTGGCTACACCTGCTACTCAGAGGAGAGTAAAGATCATTTATCTTATGATTTCCCTTCTGCCAGGTAACATGAAGTATCCAGATACGTGTAGATGCTAAACTTATCAAATAAGCCACGTATCATGATAAACTGCACCCACTGGTATTTCATTGCTACTTGTGAGGAACGTCACCTGTGTTCCCCACATGCATCGAGCTACGATAATATTCACAGAGGAATGTGGCTGACATTTGCACGTTAACGGGTAACAGTCTTAGATGTGGTGACGCATTACTGTCACTACACTATAATGAACTGATGGACACTTTTTACACCATTTATTTTAGTCGAAGGGCGCTTTAAAAAGATTCTTATTTGTTAGTCACGCGAACGTTATTTGTTACGGCTAAAAAACACAAGAATTTCGTTTTTCAGGAGATGGGTTTACTTTAACAATGATGATCAATTTCATAGCTCTATCCTTTCACTACCGCATCGGCGTCAACGTTAAATGTCTTTTTGGTTGAAACATGCAATAACTCCCACCACCTACTACTTCTAATTAAGACGTGCTATTTTTATATTGATAAGATACCGCTTGCATGCTATACTAATGTAAACGGTTATAAGGGGGCGATCATTTGATATAGCTCAAAAGCTATTGAGCTGTTGTTGAGCAGGGTAGGGAGGAAGGGTTTTTGTTTTATTTAAAGACATAACCTGTTCCCGAACCTGCTTGGTAATATATATCAGTTTTCTCGGCTTTTTCCCCAAATGATGAAACAGTGAACATTGTACATGCTAGGTGCGCTGAGAAATAAAGAATTTATGTGTAGTGTGATGGAGCCTAACACACACACATGCCTGTCTAGAATATTAAAGGTTTGATTGCTAATTGCGTGTTGGTACATGATAAATACAAATACTTGCCCCATATCCGATTTACTCTGAGTGTTTGAGCCATCGGGCCACTGGAGGAAGCATATACTCCTGGAGGATCCGTCTTTGAACGGTTGAAGATAAATGGAAGAATACAGCAAATTAGGCAAGGAAAGTAGGAACGACGCCTTCCATATTGCAACGATGATGGTCAGTACAATCCTGCCAGTAAGACGTGGACGAAGGGGGTGAATGATGGCCATATATCTGAAAGGAAAGGAGAACAATTGTATTATATCATTTATTTATGTCTGTCCCTTGGGACTTAAACGGGAAGTATGCGTTAACAATGACAGTCCCCGACACTGATCGATCAAGTTCTCAACCACTGGTTTGTCTGGTCAAGATTCGATCACTAACAGGATTTATATTGCAGATTGTTCGTTATAAGAACGTTAAAAAGGTATTTCCAAATGAAAGCAGGATGTGTGTGGAGTGTAGGTTCTAACAGTAATCGGGGCGGTCGGGTAGCCTAGTGGTTAAAGCGTTCGCCCGTCACGCCGAAAACCCGGATTCGATTCCAGACATGGGTACAATGTGTGAAGCCCATTTCCGCCGTGATATTACCTGAATATTGCTAAAACTAAACTCACTCACTCACACTAACAGTAATCATCCATAAAAAAGGAGTTACGTTATGAGTTATGTTACGTTATAAATTCATATTCATATAATATGACACTGTACATAGTGAAAACAGAAACAAATATCAGAACAATTCAATATAGAATTATATGATGTCCAAAAAGCGACAAAACCATTTCCATAATCATAAGAAATGTCTTCTTTAAGCAGTGTCCATTGTACGATTCTGCATGTATGATGAGCATGTGTATATGAATCACTATCAAATAGTATAAACCATGAATAGTGTTTTCAGGTTGATTTATTCAAAAGACTATCTGGTGAAAAACTTTACGAGCTACTAACACGTTTATACTCAATATAACCACATTAGTCTGTTTTTGCCAGGACACCAGCACACATCTCGTTCAATAGTATTGATTGGAACTTCTTATCTCGTAGGCCATCAACAACAATTTGGAGGAGCATCGTTCCAAGGCCCGGCTTCCAAGCCCAATATTCCCCTTGGCACAGACACACAGTACCGAGAAGCTCAGTAGCCTACTCTGTCAAATCAATTAAATCACACCTAACTACAGATAACGCGCTGAAATGTACAGTATTATCAATGATTAATACGAGCATCAACATGGAACCAAATTCAATACATGTGGATTTGTATCGCCCAAAAGAGGAAGTAAATATGTTCTGAGTCAAAAGTTCACACGTTGCTCAAGACAAAATACCATGACGTTATTTACCTCAATAATAATTATTAAGAACGCTGGGAAGAAATGATAATTACCTTTCAAAAGGTTGGTTTTTTTCAAACGCTTATCTCTCAACTCAGTGTACATGATATTAACTGACGACATTGATGTCAGTATGTGAGTGACAGTTGTGTGATATATAATGTACTGGACGTCAAATGCCGAGAATAAATGAAAACTGCTCATGCGGCGTTACACTATCAACTCTTCCGCTCACTGTATTAGTCTCAGTCTTGAATCGAAATGACTCCGCCAGTATATGGAGTACTGGATATGTCAGAGTGCGTGGGCTCTTAATCAACACTCGAAGTCCCGCATCGAAGCGCACCACGTAGCCTGGCATGACGTCATAGGTGCAATATGTATCATGGCGATTAATTTGTTACTTGTCTAAACGAAATCATTCTTTAAGGCATTCTTTCAGTTTCTCAGCAGACAGGTGTGAACTTGGATGGTCTTTATTTTGGGAACGGTGTGATCAGGTGACATTGTGGTCTCAGACGCCGTGCAGTTGTAATGAAGGATAATTCGAAGAAAAACAGTTGGTATACGTTCACTATTTCCGACCACTTGTCGCTGACATACACCAAGACTCACTGTCCCTTGGATCTGGGAATCGAACGCCTTAGCCAACGATTCCTGACAGACAAGGGAGTCAGTTCTGAACTGCGATCTGACATTCTCCCACTTAGCATAGTAAGGCATAAGAAGGACCATTAGAAGGACCAGTTCATTTGAACACCAGATCACGGATACACAAACAGCAAGATACTCAAATAAAAAACAGTTCATATCGAATAGAAATTTCTTCAAAAAGCAGAGTCGATTGTACGATTCCAACTATATCATGAGCATGTGTTCATGAATCAATATCAAATAGTGATGATACCAGGTGTTCGCGAAAAGATGAGCGTATCCTGCCCCACCGGTGGCACTCGTCACAAACACATGCAAAGGCAGGTCAATTGTTCACCTGAAAAAACACGGGAACATATGGTACAAGTCAAACTAGGGAATTGCATCGGACATCATTTTTGTCACTGATGCATCACATTTGGAAATGTCCTCTACATATCAACCATAAAACTTTCTTTTACTTAACAAGAGGGGGCACGGGTGGCCCAGTCGTCTAAGGCGCCGCGATTCGCTGTGCAGAGTTGCGTCCCTTGGGCACGCCAGAAACCTATGATTGCGGGTTCGAATCCCGGTTCGCCCTGATTATGTTTCTAGGTTTGTCAGCACCATACCCGTGCTCGTGGGTTTCACCGAAGTGGTAAACGTATGGGACCTGTATCACTTCGGGCTTTCCTACCACATTAAGCTGACACGCCGCGATATAACTTGAATACTGTTATAAGCGGCGTTAAACCCAACTCACTCGCTCACTCACTCTGAACAAGAGTCGTATGACTCTCGTTGAAATCTTGGTAGTAAGAGCATGCTTGATTGTTTCTCAAAAGTTGCGAAATGTAACACCATTGGCTGGAGTTGCTGGAATATTGCTTCGACATGAACACGGACACAAACGCCTTGGGAAACACGCGAGCACACACATGGACATACAGACACACCATGACCACAACATCCCCGTCCGCATTCAACTCCCTTTCCCACCGATCACTTATCACCACCCATCATAACCATAATTAGTGTGGCTGATTTAATTAAAGGCAGCTGAATAACGATTTATTCCAGCACCGCGTGAATTTCTCACTGTATATGACGTAACAATACAAGTCTACATATATTGTGTGCCGTGTCAGAGTTCCTCCCAGGGAACGTTTATTACCGTCTGACCTTCCCCTCGGACGAGGTCAGGCATGAACCCCGTCACAAGGGGACGTTAATATCCATACGCCGCTGACGTTAATAAGATAAACCCAATGCTGTTTATTGCTATTTATGACAGCAGTTTCATGGAGAAAGCAGTGATGTATAATTTCAGAACCAGATCGTCAAGGTATTATCACAGTATATGTACAAGGTGTAGTCATGGATATGCTGGGAAATCAATATTAAGATAGATGGACGTCAACACAGACCTGACTAAAACACTATTATTTCACCATTCAAATCTCATCCCAGTGTTTACACAAGATAATAATTACTGATTTGTATAAGTATAAAATAAGTCATAAGCATTGTGGCTTGTTGGGACATTGTGTCATATAATATATGTCCGCTGGTATGTATTCAGAGTACTTAACTTTTTAACCTTGATATTTTATATCATAGTTTGCATTTACTTTGTCCAACTGGAAATGAGGATATGGTACATATTATTGTTATAGGCGCCTAAGTACCGGTATTTAGGGAAAATACATACCGAGTTATTAAGTTGCTTAAAAGTATTAACAGTATTTTGCTTTTTGGAAATATGTAAGCCACATATGGATAGCTCGTTATTTCTGAGAAAACATAATAATTTCTCATGTTACGTTTTGAGCAAATATATAAATACGTAATATTCATGATACGTCATAGCTTTGGGAAAGTACGTACGCTACTAGTCTTTGTGGCCATAAACAGCGCGCGGCCTTGACCCGGAATTCACTTTGTGTTTGATATTTTATCATGTTTCACGCACGTATCTTTCACGATTCGACTTTTAGTCTTTGATTCTCGGCTGCACGGCTTCAAACTTAATATATTTCGTTAAAAGACTCCAGATACGCGACAGTTTGACTTGCGCATTTAATCCAAGATTATTCCACCAGATATTCTTAAACAAAAGCGAAAAAATCATTTCCATAATCGTGAGAAATCTCTTCTATTGTCCAATATTGCTGAAAGCGGCGTAAAACCATACTCATTCATTCATGCATCACCATCAAAATAGTGATGATATCATGACTGTGTTCTCGAAAAGGTGAAGGTGTCCAATCCACATGCAAGTGCAAGCTATTTGTTCAACAAAGGTAATTGCCTATATCGCGCCTGATATGTTGCCTCTTTCACGTAGGTTCAAATCCCAATTTCGCCCTGGTTATGTTTCCCGGTTGGTCAGAACCATTCCAATACTCATGTGTTTCACCAAAATGGTAAACGTCTAAGAACTGATCAATAGAGGCATTCCTCCCACATCAAGCTGACACAGCGTGTTATAACTGACATACTGTTCAAAACGGTGATAAACAAAACTCACTCGTACCATGAGTGATATGATGCCAATGGTGCAATGATTCCACACGTATATTCTAGTCTGAATAGCGAAAGTGTGTGCATGTCAGTGACATGAAATCTATGTAGACCTTCAGAACGAATAGGGCTTTGGAGTGCGTGCTCTTGTAATGCTGATCCCTCCTTCAAAGTCTCAGAAGATGGTATGCATCTCATAAACAACGCGCCGCTCGTTCTGGGGGACAAAGAGGATTCCAAACATTTAAGTTTCCCGCATAGGTTTACGAGAGAGCACCTTATTTTGATCTTTGCAATGCACTGATTTTTTCATTCTTCATCTGATCTTTGAAGATACCAGGGTGGTCTTAATAGCGATTAAATGTGATATATCACGCTAACGTCTTCTGCCCTAAAGAATTGGGCGTCATATTGGATCCACTGAATGGACTTGAGCGCCGGTGTGTTATGCGTAACGACATACATCTCCGTTTACTTAAGCAGATTGTTTCAGTATTAACCTTTAGGTATTCTTGATATACGATATTTCGGTATGACTTCCATTTAACACAATGATGCATATAGAAATCAATATAAGACAACCCTTCTTATACACTTGTACGAAAGGCGGGCGAGAATATAGGAACGAAAACAATGGATCGATGGAGTTATTTCTTTCCCCGTATTTGATGCCACAGGTCTAGAAGAGCACTGACGTATAAAGTGACGGGATAAAACTTAGGTTAATCAACTTTC